TTAATGCTGAGAACACACATGCGCTACATCGTTGGGTGCTACCTTTATACCAGAAATGGTACCTTATGTGTTTGCCTAAAAACAATGACCAGATGGCTTGTATGGAGATACTCTTTGATGTGATCTTGGGAAAACTTGACAAGTAAACTATAGGTGTGATTGTTGAATATAATACCTGAGGAAATTAAGTATGATGATAAGTATTTAATAATAATGATTGTAACATCTGCTAGAATTTTATGGGCAAAATACTGGAAATCTGTTCAAACTCCGAATGAAAAAGAGTTAATCAATAAATTGTTAACTTTAGCAGAGATGGATAAAATAAATGTTATAATGCAAGGTAAAGAGTAACAGCATTCCGTGTGCCTCGGTGTTTAGTCATGCCGGCCACATGACCACGGAAATGTCTCCGGACAGCGCTGGCTCTTCGGCTTTGAAACGGAGATGAGCACCGCAACCCTAGAGTCGGATTCGACTGGCTTTCGAGCAAGGGAACCTTTACTTTTTTAAAGATGATGAGGTACATCAAAAGAGATGGTCAAGGGTACGTAAATGGATTAAAATTAAGATATAATGGCAAACTCGAACTGTATGGAAATATGCAATACATATGACTGTTTATAAGTGTTAAAATAAAAAAAAACATAAATAAAAAAACCTATAGCTGTGATTGTTTTTTGGTGACTCCTGAGTACAGAATGTTTATTATTTTGGTGAAGGGTGTTAAGATCTGTAAAAGTAGGATAATAAACACGCGAAGAAGGGGAATATATATGACTGTATGAAATGGGGAAGATTAGTGATGCTTCCTTGAGAAACCTATTGTCCTGATAATGCATCTCCCTCTGGGGTGGGGAGGAGGATGCCAGGTGGTCAGCCATGATAATTCACCTTCCAAAAATAGTTTCCCAGGCTCTTGCTTGGCAGTAACAATTTTTTGTGCTACAGATCCATTTCGATTCCATTTACCATGTCTAGGCCAGGCAGTGCCCTGTACAAATGATTTTGGGGTGATATTTTATGGTGTTTGGTCTTCTCTTCTCCTTGGCTGCCAAACTACCCATCTGCAGGAGGGGTCTGACTGCTAACAGCAGCAGCTCCGGGAAAGGAAGCAGGAGAGAGCCAGCTGCACAAGGGCCGGACAAAAGCCCTTGGCGGGCCAGTTCCAACCCGTGGGCCGTATGTTTGACACCCCTGAATAGTCACTATTGACTTCCATTGTGTCATCCACATTGAGTCTCAGTGAAAAAAGAGGAATATAAATGAAGAATCTAACTAAATAACCAGAACAATGTTTCTACTTTGAGTAGATCATTATTGTTTTATTTATGTATTTATTTATTGTCAGATTTATACCCTACCCTCCCAACCGAAGATGATGATGATGATAATTCAGGGCTCTTTTTGTAGCAGGAACTCCTTTGCATATTAGGCAACACATCCCTAATGTAGCCAATCCTCCAAGAGCTTACAGAGCTCTTCTTACAGGGGCTTCTGTAAGCTCTTGGAGGATTGGCTACATTAGGGGTGTGTGGCCTAATATGCAAAGGAGTTCCAGCTACAAAAAGAGCCTTGAAATGATTTTCTTATTATTTCCTATTATTATTGTGGTGAAACGGGGACCCGCCTCAGCCCTGGGAGACTGAGTGGCCGTTCTGTGGCTCACAAGCCCCTGTTTTTGCTTTCCCACCCTTCCTGGTGGGGCTATTTCCCTTCATTACACGCTGCCACCACTCACTGGATTCACACTGCCTTCCTAGAGGGACAGTGAGACCCCTCTGGCTGATTCCCCAACCGTGAGAAGTTGGTACCACAATCTTTGGGTGCCCCCTGGAGAGTTGGCAACCACTCTGATTTGGGACCATTTTGGTTTCCTGGCCTCCCTTTTGTTTTTGGTAATTTGTCGAGCACAGAGGACTAAGTGGTCAAGGCACACCAGGTCTTATTTAACTCAAAAATGTTTATTTTAACTATGTACAAGTTATGTGCAGAAAATAAACACAAGCACATTAACACAACCTGGGCAGAAAATAAATACGATTTAAAATGCCATTCCTCTGTCCCCTACCCATACACCCTCTCTGTCTCTGGAGGTTGTGGGCCTTGGGATGGGTTTTGCTTTCCCCCTCCTGTTGTTGTGGAGAAACCCCCAGCCCTCCACCGGACTGGTCACTGGTACTGTTGCCCTCCTGGCTGTCCACCACAGTTTATAGTGGCCTGGATGTCCTGGAGTCTGTGGTAACAGGAGCCCCACCTGTACGCTCGCTCGAAGCTGCCGTCCACACTGAGCCAAAGGCTGAAGACCAGGCTGAAGACCAAACTCTCCCTGCAGGAGCCAAAGCCTTTATCTCCCTGGCTCCGCCCCTGGGGTGTGTCCATATTTTCCCGCTCTTTTCCCTGAAGCTTCTGGGAAGTGTAGGCAGGGGGGTATGGCAGCTCCACCGTTCCCTATGGAGTCCCTCCCCCCTTCTAAAGACTACCAGACTGGCATCCATTTTAAAATACACTGCTGCCTCTGCCTGGCAGTCATTTTGTTGTTGTTGTTGTTGTCGTTGTTGTTGTTGTTGTCAGGGGTCATTTCGTAGAAAAAGAGGTGCAGGAGCTCATTAGCATAACTCATTTGCATAGGCCACACCCCCTGACATCACCGGACGTGTGTCAGAAGGCAACACCCACCGCTCAGGCTCCACTGGACTGTTTTGGATGGCTAGCTATCGTGTGGGGGGGAACGTGCAGATCTGGCCTCGCAGAGGAGGGAGAGCTTGTACCTGAATAAAACTTGGTCTTAACGGTGCCACTGGACTGTTTTGGATTGGGGGGGGGGGCTCTGCAACTTACCTGGATGCTTCTTGCTCTGACTGAGGGCTGCTGGGAGCAGGGGGTGGGGCTTGTTGCATGTGCCCGCCCCCT